ATATGTGTGTGTGGTTGACGCACGACAACTCTCGGCGTCGTTCGATTCGCGAGCCCAAAAATGTGTGTGTGTGTGGGATGTATCGGCAAAAAAAATCAGAGAGAGAGAGAGAGTAGGTCGAGCTCTTGGTGGCAGAATATCCGGCGCTTCGAGTGACTTTTTTTCTTTTGACGCGAGTTGAAAAAATACGACGGACGATTCGTTTCAAAATATTGGTAATTCCCTCGGCTTTCGACAACCAATGTAAAAGATATATGCTCACTTATAGATGAATCGGCGATAAAGAAAAGGACCATTTGCCCCAACCTCGTCTCTGCAGGGAGATGTTCTATGCGAGACGTGATTTTTCCTTTTCTCTCGGATGTAGGTATACCTAACGAGAGAAACATAATCTCACGATTGGCTCTCGCCAATTTGCGTTTTATGCACACACATGTGTTATTCACGGGTAAGTAAATAATAAGCCGCGCAGCGCGCGATAAATCATCGAAAGTGTACTGTACATATATATATATGCACGGTTGGTTACGTACCGGGCGCTTTTGCTCCATCGTGCGAAAAGGGGTTTACGGACATGTATGTAATATACGTGCGTGGTTCAAAGTACCTTATGTGCGATTTTTCCGTACAGGTGCACACCAACTGTACTATATTGGCGAGGAAAAACTATACATGGAGGGGAAGAAAAAAGAGCCATAGCGCCCATCAGCTGCCGGTGTAGAGGTGTATATGATAAATCATGCATAATATGTACGGCAAGTGCGTGCGAGGTGTGTGCACTTGCAGCGTATAATATTACGATGGCGGTGCACACCGAGAGCAGCTGCATGCGTGCATCAAGAGAGGGGAAAGGCGCCCGTTCGAAGGATAACGTTGTTAACCTAGGGCAGGACTACATACTCCTCTCCCTCTCCACTCACTGCCTCCTTCCCACGAACCGGCGTCCCTCTCTCTCTCTCTCTTACGTACCGCGAGGACATAATATACACGCGGGGAGAAAGCTCGAGAGCGCACAAATTATCCTTCGTGTATGTATGTACGTGTATACGTGTGAGCTCCTTTTCCTCCTCCGTATGTATATGTAGAGAGCGCGAGCAACCTTCTCCTTGTACACTCTATAAGCTAAATGGTGTGTATGTATGTGTCAGCGAGTGTAAATCAGCTGATGGTCGTGAGCGGGAGGTATATATATATAAAAAGCTGTGGGTGTGTGTGTGTGTGCGCGCGCGGGCCACTTTGCCCCCACCCGTCCCGCTCGCTCTCACTGATGCCCCTTTGCTCGATCTCGCTCAGCTGACTGCGCCGATCTTAGTCCTGTGCATGTGGATGGCGTCCGAGTCCAGACTATACTACCTCATGCTGACGGTGCAGTGCCTCGGGTTTTTTTTTTTTTTTTTTTTTCACCCCTCCTCGGCATTTTTTTCCATTTTTTTTCCATTTTTTATGTAGCTGAATAAAAGTTCTACTGAAAGTTTTATTTGAAATGAATGTTTTATTCAAGACTGAATTCAAACTTATACTTACATCGATTCGTAGCTTTTTTTTTTAGATCATGCGTTGTCTCCACACAACTTTTCATTTTTTTTTTTTTTTTTTTTCTCTTATTTTGTGTTTCCAAAGACATAAATATTACCGCGTACACGTTAGCCTCGTTTTTCCATATTGATCCTCCCTTTATGTAACATATGCTCTTTGGTAACACGCGTCCCGCATTCCCTCTCGTCGTACGGTGGTGTCATTGCACGAGCAATTTTTCCCCGTTCGATGGAGAGCGACAGGCTCATTGAACGCTCGTCGCGTGCAATTAGTAATCCCACCCACGGGTGTAGTGCTTTTTCTTTTTGCGAGAAATTTTCGCACACCCCGGCAGCTACGCTCGAGCGTCGTGTTTAATTAGCCGCGGAGCAAGCAGCTACAGACATCCAAAGCGCGCGCGCGTATACATGTGGCGAAGCTTTCTCTCGCCGGCAACGAAACTCTTTTATTCCTCGCGCGCACAGGTAAGTACAAGTACCTCGTACACGCAATAACTGTAATTATTTGCTCAAACTAGGATATCAATTCCGCAGCCAACGACGCCCGGAAAAATTATGCTCGCGCGCGCACGCACGGTATATATATACATATATGTACAAAGGATATAAGGAGCGCCGATCGCGATCTCCGATAAGCGTAGAAAAGAGGAGAAGTAGAAAAAAAAAAAAAAAAAAAATATGCACGTGTTATGAGCGCGAGAGAGGAATTGCATACAAGTATATAAATATACATGAATAGTGTGCAAAGCCTGTGGTTATTAAAAGCCGGGAACCGGCGTTGCCGCAACTTGGATTGCGCGCATCGCGTGATCCAACCGATTTTCACTCGATCCACGTAACGATCTCGCTCTCTTTTGGCTTTCGAAAGAGAGCCCATACACCTTTTTTCACCACAAAGTGCCCCACGAACAACGTTTTTTCTTTTCTTTTTTATTTCATCATAACGAATATTATTCAGTATCAAAATTGAATTTTCTTCGGATAACCTCCCCGCTGAAAATATTTTGTACTCTCTCTCTCTCTCTCGCAGTCAAATATAAATTTTTGCAAGGAAATAAAAGAGCGCCACGCCGAAAGCTGGAATTTTTCCGAGACCGTATAGCGTCAGCTGTGACTACGATCAGGTTGCAGGACTCGCATATATGGCTGCATATACTTTATACGTATGAGAGAGCGGAGCAAAAGGAGCCGCTGCATGTGTATATATAGGTATGTATGATGCTTGCAAGAGGTGCAATGGCGATGGCAAATGAAAGGATTTAGGCCGAGCGTGAAAGCGAACGACGGAGGAGAAAGTGACTACCGCGTATATAATATATATATGTAGCTGTGCAGCGGCGTATATAATATAGCCATACGGTACATGTGCGTACGCATACCGGCTGATTTCGAAAGGAGAGCGTTTATGCACGTAATGCCCCCGCGAATATACTTTTACATGCATGTACAGCGGAGCCAAGTTGCGTGAAAAGTGCAAGTACCTCTGGTGTGTTAATTTATGTGTGTGTGTATGGTCAGGTGCCTTTGCTCGTACGGAGTGATCGATACACCCGTCCTTTTATCGAGCAAGGACGCGACCTTTGGATTTTTTTACGGTTGGTTGTGATGCACCAGAGTGTGCCTGCTTATACGTACACGGCCCGGATTGGGAAAAAAAGGAGGACGACGAGCGCGTGAAAGTGCGCGCACTCTCTCTTTCGATTACGTTTTTTCTTTTCTTCTATTTTGAAAACTCGACTCTCGGCGTGACGTGTATACATTATACGTTTTATTTTCGAAAGCCCACCGCCGCGAATGCGATCTCAAAACGGGAAAGCCTCTCTCCGGGGCTAATTATTGCGCGCGACCAGGAGAAGTGGCAAGGTAATTTGGCAAAAAATACACTTGGCGAGATTGTTAATTGAAGACGAAAAAAAAAATTAAGTACGGCTTTCTCGGGTGGCCTTCGAGGTGTGTACGCGCTTTTTGCGTTGCCATCTTCCTCGTTACCGAGGAAGCGAGACAAAAGTAATAATCGCTACTAAGATATGGAGAAAAGAAGATAACACAATCCCAGCAGATGTCGGATAAATCCTCCTCTTCGTCGTTGTACGTATATGGCCAACGAGAACAAGCCGTGTGCATTAAATGTCGGTGTATTTTGGGGAGGAAAAAAACACACGCACACACGTACCGAAAAAAAAAAGGGGGCCATGAGAGCGGGGGGCGTCACGCCTGAAATTCGCGAGTGACCTTGACCTTCTTGGTACAGTATACCTGTGTGTACAGCCGGTGGGTTTTTTGTATACCGTTGGACAACAGACTTTTTGGTCAGTACATATATATAGAGCGTAACGCCTACGTTGGCGAAGGGGGGCTGCGGATGGACACGGGCCGTCGCGCTCAGTGTATCACCGAAATTATATTAAATAGGGTGAACAAAAAAAAAAAGGACTCTCAGACGCATTGTTTCAATTTGAAGCCACGAGCCGCCACAAAATGACTTCCGTGCTATTATATATTACAGCTGCGTCGACAAAAAAAAAAAAAAAAAAAAATGGTGTAACTCTCTCGTTCGCTTATCGCCGTCTGGCGCGCGTGTTGTTTTCGATTTATACGGCGCGAATGTTAATACCGATGAACATTGGCGAGCGGGGTTTTTACGTTAGATTTCGCCGCCTTTGGCAAAGACTGACGTTTCTGGGTCGCGGTGAGGGGACAATCAAACCACTGCGGCGCACTGTATAGAAAAAGGTATTGGGTACATACACGCGCGTGCGAACCATCAAGCTATACGTAGAGGTACACCCTTTTTTTTTTTTTTTTTTTTTTTCGTTTATTTGGAATTTTCGCATTGCACCGACGGCGACAGGGCGGGGACCCGTACGAGCGGCAGGAAATAAAGAGAGAGGGAGGACTAGTTTTTTTTTTTTTTTTTGTTCTCTGCTCCAAAAATGGTTTTCGTTTATTACACCAACACCTGACCTCGTACACGGCGTTTCCATTGGACTTGTTATTGTACAGCTTTGCCCGCGCCTGGGTAATTCCCCAAATTTTCGTCACAACATGTTTGTAACCCGTAACCCATACTAGCGATGGCTATTAAAATATACATACACCCGAGACCCGCAGTGGTTCGCGGCCTCGTATAGCCCGTGGCGATATTTGTTTTTCAACCATCATCTCGGTCTCTCGTGGAAACAAAAAAAACAAGGGGTTACCGAGACGTGATTGATGATCCAGCCTGACAGTGTGTCTGACGACGTATAGCATTAGAGACTTTTTTTTACTTGTCTATTGTACTGCTGCTCGTGTCAATTTTGGGGCACACATTCGTACTAATTGTGCGCTTCGCGCGAAGGCTGTATACCTACGTATAAGTATCATATGATGTTTTTGTCTTACAGATATACCGAGATGAAAATATATGATAATGATAATGGAAGATGCGTCGATGAAAACAGAGAAAATATGTGATATACGTACCGATTCGGAACTGGGTTCGTTGAATTTGCTGAGGTCCTCGCGGTTCGGTCCAGTTCGTCGGATCTGACCCTGGAACATTAAAATTACAGAATATACACGACGTCCACAGATAAACATATTGTAGGTACATAATTATATACACGCATGAGTATTATGTGACCGAGAAACTCGGATGCCGAGTCACGTATATGTGCGCGTATTACATTCATTACAAATATATTTTTTTTTTTTTTTTTTTTGTTCATTTTCGCCAAACCCAGCTGCGACCTTGCCGCGTAATCCAATGATTCAACAAAAATTTTTAATGTCAACGCGTCGATTCAGACGAGCGTAAAAAATTTACAGCGAAACGCCATGTGTGCGACTATAAGATAAGAGACCATTTGACACAGATCTATATGGACTCGAGAAAATGGGTCCCCTCCTCTTATCCCCGATTACACGCGTAAACATGTTTAGAAACTTACGCGACAGATACACTTCTGTATTTTTAAATTCGTCGCATTCCTCGGGGCGTACATATATTTGTTTTCTCTCTCTCTCTCTCTCTCTCTCTCTCTCTCTCTCTCTCTCTCTCTCTCTCTCTTCTGACGTACGGTATTCCAAACACACTCGCCTTGGCCCATCTCCTCCGCGTAATAAAACGTCGCAATCGATCGGATACACATTTTTTGCATACAGTGCAAAAGTACCGCGCAGTTGTATGGATTTCCCTGCCTACACGTACCACACTATCATTCATACCATCATTGGCACTCTGTGAAACACAGAAAAATGACCACGCAAGAGGTTTTCCTGCTCCTATGTATATATGTATATGCAGCCTTGGGCGAGATGAAAAGTCGTGCATGGAAAATTGTGCCGTTGCGCAACACCGCGGTTCGTTACACGCGCCGGCCGGCGCGCGAGTCGTGACGCCGGCTGATCGAAGCGCGAGATGCGTCACGCGGCGAGAGGAAAACACAAGCGCGGAAGCAGCTCATATTATGATTTTAAGGATCGCTTCGTATACAAGTATGTGTAGAAATTTTTCTTGGGAAGGGGGGCGAGCCGCAGATGATAATACACACGTGTACAGGCCACACTGGCGTGACGTAAGCGCTGACATACGCGCTTCCTCGATAGACACATAGTAATCACCTCTTTGATGGTGAATGATGATGGTATACGATGAGCACCGATATGCGGAGCGTTCGGAGGGGAAATTAACAAATTGCCACGCGGGGGCTCTCGATGGCACGAAAATATGTCGTGGGGGAAAAAAAAAAAAAAAAAAGAAAAAAGATACGCGTGCGATCGATAAAAATTTGCGACGAATCTCGCGTCCACGGACATGTGTATACATCGTACAATTATGACCGATTCATACAAATTTCACGTGGAAACGCTCCCTATAGGTTTTTCTTTGCATTTTCCACGCAACCTTGAAACACACATTCGCGCGCACGTGCGCTCCAAGTGCATATTATATGCAGTGACGCCGGTGCGCATAATATAAGCTCGCAGAGCGAAAAAGCCAACCGGCTGCACATGCAATGCGCGAACGACGAGCTACTACAGCGTTGCGTAATATACAAGTAGCGTGTGTGCGACAAGTGCTCGACTATACACTTATGGTATACGTATATATATATATGTACACATGGAGGGCGACGCGACAGCGACAATTGTTATTTATACGAGTTGCCGATACGCGCGTGTACAAGTACTATACCTACGTGTATTACACGGCGTGTGTGTGTTTGTGTGTGGAAAGGTTATTGGGAGCTATAGAGAGAGAGAGAGGAATATTACACGCCGAGGGGACCGTGTCACGGTCACGTGCGACTTGTGCGTGACATATACCGATACGGGCGTCACAGCAGAGCTGCGTGTAATAGCGGTAGCATAATATATGGCAGGCAAGGCTTGGTACATTGGAATATGGTTGCTTGTGTAGGCGACAATAGAGCACCAGAATTTCCTTGATATAGGATTTTGCTACAAGTTTGGTCGACCGCGGCAAGGTCTTCTTCTTCTTTGCTTCCTTTTTTAAAAGTGATATTTTTTTTTTTTTTTTTTTCATTTCATCAAAAATAGACGTGTTCTCGTCATCTATCAGAATTCACCTGTTGTGTCATCGGGTCTATTAATACAGCGAGCCAGCGCTGAAAATACACACACCCTCACCCCGAGCGGAATGCGAAAATATAATGATCCCTTTTTTCTTTCTTTTTTTTTTTCCTCTGCTCGAGCTATTTTCAACCGTGTATTAATACACTTGTAAGCGTAACGTCGTACAACATACCTTATCCTCGTAATCTCCATTAATAAAGACGCGCATCAAAGTCCCCATTGTATAAATTGCATAGAAAAAAAAAAAAAAAAAAAAAAAAAAATTCCTGCATTTCCGTCGACGATCTGCTATACAAGCTAGACAGCGGGGCTCCCAAAATAAGTATTTATGATACGCTCTTTCGCTACACCTATACGCGCCAACCTCCTTCTTGTGTGTTACGTATATACATGCGATTTTTTTTTTTTTTTGCATCGATGGCCAAGGCCACGCTGAGATCATCTTTGCATAACCGAGCGACGACGTGCGTAAAGAGGAGAGCGCGATAACCCGATCGAAGTAATTAGCCGACCGCGTATATATCTCGATCTTTTTTTGCTCACGACCTCCATACAATATATACCTCTGTCCTATTCACACGATGTTTTAGAATAGTCGATATTCTAGCTGCTATATGTATATGTGTATATTGTACCTGTTGCGTAACGCAGTAACAAAATACGTATAGTCCTAAATTACGTGGCCATTTTTATCTTTCACAAACGGGAAATACCCACAAATGTTTTTTTCGACCATGATGAGAATAGACAAGACACGCTTATACGAGAATAACATCGCCTATAGCTGGCCCTCGCCACTACCAATACGAAACTTTGCTCGGTACACGTATGAATGGTTTAACAAACACCGCATGGGAAAACGTTCGAGGAGAAATCGCCGAGCTAAATGTAATGGCCGATCAGGTGCTCGCCGATTTTTCGACTAACCGCGAAACAGTGCGAGGTAGTAGGTACGTGATGTAGAGAGACAGAAATTCGCTACTACGGTAACAGAGGTATGTATATATAGGTACTGACCTTTCATACCTTTCTTTTGCCTTTTAAATGTCTCTTTTTTTTTTTTAGTCTTTACTGTATCATATCGCTCGGTGAAGTAAGAGGGAGAGCCGCCCAGCGGCGAGAGAAGAAATGAACGTCTCCGTAGTTAACAGTGAAGTAAGGAAACTCGGAAGTGTGAGTCGTGTGTGGTACTTCTCTCGTTGCACGGGTAAGCATATATATATATATATATATATATATAACGCAACCTTGTACGAGTAGGTCATAGGTATATCAAGTGCAAGGGCGCTCGAGTTACAAACGAAAATCGGATGAATCGGGTAAAAATTGCGGATGGTACGAACGAGTAGTTTAACGCGATTTATCGCCAGTGAGCGCATTAGACATTTTGGAATAGAGAAAGGCACCTATATACCGCGGAGGCGCAAAACCCCAAGGCTGTACAACAACACACTCGCAGTACCGAGATAAGAAATCTAAAAAAGAAAACCAGCAACAACCGCGCTTACTGTATACACCACTGTACGGGAATCAGCGAAAAAAAAAAAAAAAAAAAAGTTCTCGGTCACGCTCGTTCTCGGAAGGAAAATTTTCTCTTCTCGGTGTGTCCGTTTATTCCGTTGCATGCATGTATGTATACATTTACGTAAGCCATAAATTGGCGACGGAGTATAGATAAAGAGAAGGAAAAATGAGGAAGCGAAAAAAGCGAAAAAAGTGCATTTACGTACGATGAGGAAAAAAAAAACATACCGTTCAAATTGACAATAGATGGATTCACTACTAACGAAACATGCGTCAGTGTAGCTGCGAGCCAAGTGCAACGACATTAAGCATGTGTACAAGCTCATCGACATCTTCGCGAGCCACACTTCAACTTCAAAGTGCAAAGATCTATATCCGCACTTGTGATACGTATAGGTATTATACCAACGTGCATTGGCTGCATCATCGCGTCGACGTCCTCGTTCACGGTCGTATACGTATACGCATGCCTTGTACATGTATAGAGCGTAAATGCATCACGTGTCGTTACACAAGCTTCGCGTAGACGCGACAATGAAGTAAGGTAAAACGCCCAATACTTGGACAAAACTGAAATTCAGACCGATACTTGGACAGTGGAAAATCAGTCATTGTAGCAAATAAAAAAGAGATATTTTAAAAAACGTAATAGATTAGTATTGCTATGATTATTATTGATGATATACTTGAATTTTTTAATAAATTTCAGCAAAATTTAATGCAAGCGAATGATTCTAAATTTCACCGTAGGCGCCATAATAGTGCGATAATTTTTCTCCGTTTTCTATGATTTTGATAATAGGTAATGCTCGTTAAAATTAATCCAATGCATTTGTATGCATGCTGAATGGTATTATTTTACAACTTTTACATTAATTAACAATGTTTCTAATGTAATCGTGGACAAAAAAAATTTTTATAGTGTAAAATTAGCTTTCCAAGTACACCTCACGATTTCGTAGTAGTTGGACAGACGTGGAGCTGTTGTCCAACTTCAGGTCATAGGCACAAAAACGTCGTATCCGCAGTACATGGACATACAATCAAAGTTGTTTACCTTTTAACGTAGTTAATCTTTTACTCAAATTTTTTAAACAAAAGTGTATAAAAAGTGAAGTACTTTGTAGAAAAAAAATACTGTACTAATCAGTTTTGTTGTTAAGGGGTGCACCGCCTTAATAAAATTGTTTTTTCAACATTTTGAAAAGTTAACCTCCAATTCACTGTAAATACAGATGAAGTTTGGATTCTGAAAAAAGGAAAAATGTTTAAAAAAAAATATAAAAGAATGAAAAAGAACAAAAGTGGAGGTCATACAACAAAAACAAAAAAAAAAAGTAAGAAAAATTTAAAAAAAAATTGAAAATCAAAATGCACCCTGAAGGATTTATTTTTAGAAAAAAGATAAAAAATTTTATTTACGGATTTCA